TCTGCTTGAATTGATTGTTTGATTAATGAATTTCGCGTGTACGTACATATTTATAATTAATAATTATATTTCGATTCATTTTGAGCGGATCGTCGGTTCTTTCCACAGAATTCGCATTTCCTAACCGCACACATTTCATCCACCATTTGCGGGATAATAAATACATACACACACACCACCACCTGTTGCGTGAAGGGTGTTATTCTTATTTCCAATCCGAAAAGGGGATGTCCTTAGTTGCTGCTGCAATATTGCGTTACCAGTTTCATTTACGCGATTGCACAGCAACATTCCCATTTGACGACAATACTAAAATCTGTAACTTTTTTTTTATCGCGTTAACCGGATTATACAAAAGAGTCGCAGCATGAAAGCCACTTACACAATTTTTTGTTCGTCAATGATGCGAATAATTTTTGTACGTATTGAAGTTCTTTCCATTGTTCAGTTGCAACCGAAAACTCTATTTCCATTCAATAACTTGCTTCATCTAGAATCTAGATGAAGCACATTTGAAATGAATAATTGTAACGAACATGATCCATACTTTAAACATTTTATAATCAATATTTTTAGTATTTATTCTAAAAGTAAGTAATTGTAATTTGATTTCTACTTGAAAACAACTTCCATTCAAATACTTCTTACTTCTTCAAGTAGACTACGGACATGATTCATTACTTTGAACTTTTTACAATCAGTCTGCATTTCGGAATTACTATAACAAACATGATTTATTAAATATATTAATTTGTCACTTTCAACAAATCACTTGTGCCACAAAAAAATATATCTTCATTTTATGAATTAAATCATTCTAATATTTTATAAGAATTCAATTGTGATATATGTTTTTTTATTAGATAGTAAATTAAGAGTAATTAAATCAGATGAGTCTGATGACATTAAATGAAAATGTTGTTCTATTTTAGTACAAAGCATAAATCATTTGATCTTTGACATGTCGCTTTTATAGTTCGAAACGAGCCGACAAATTTAATTTGTTGTCCATGACGTAAACGAATGGTGACCTATAAATATACACATATATATATGTCTGCGTATATTAGTACATTTGGTTGGTGGTAATTAATTTGAATATAACTGCCATATCAATTGCGGAACGTTCAAACGCAGATATTCGTCGTCGTCTGGCCATGAAAATACGTCTCTCAATATTGTAATTTCTTAAAATAATAATGACAAAGTGTGTCGAAGGAGACAAACGAATTAAAGAAACGACCCATAAAACCAAGACCAACCGCTCTATTTCTGTATGCAAGTACATTAAACGTAATCCGACACCCGGTAATAACTCAGAAATATATTGCAGTTTCTCTCTCTCTCTCCTCCCCTACTTCAACTTCTCCGTCGCGTACACTTTCTTTTTTTTGCTTCTTCTTTATTTTAAGCCGGGGCCTATTTTTCCCGCGACCCCCGAGCAGCAGCAGCGGCATCATCCCCTCAAGAAGTGAGAAGTTGTCGGAGAATAGCGAGAACGTGCTCCGACTCCCAAACGCCACCAGATTGATCATATTAGTCCCAAATTACAAACCGCGACACCGACTACAGATTGGCCACCCCTCTTCTTCTCTTTTTTTCGCCACACCCTCGAATACCCTTAAATATTCATTATTTTTAGTTTCTTCCCAAACTATATGCATTTATTTTGAACCGCATTATGTATAATGCTATTAGTTTTCAAAGTACACTTCAAAATTTTTTCACATCCTATTTTTTTCTTCTACTTTTCTAATGCATTAGAATTTTAATTAACTAACTAATATTTGTATATTATAATGACACCATTTTCAAATACATAATGAAATTTAATTAAATTAAATAATTACAACATTAATTAGATATTTATGTTTACTAATGAATTAAATATTTGACTAAATTTTCCTCGAAATAATAATCAACAAATATAGTACGATTTTATGTAATTTGTAATATTCCAACAACTTTTACCAAAGTCATTTTCTATAATTATAAAAGTAAAATACATGATAGGTCATTAAATAGATTTTGAAAGCAAATAGATTCAATAAAACTGTTAATAGTTGGAGATTTTGGCTACTATCAAGAAATTATAATTTTTCTATTTGTAATAATTTATTTTATATTTCCACTTGAATTATTTCGTTTCTTACATATAATTTGAATTATTTCTAAACATTGTATCGGAATCATAATTGTTGAAGAGTATAAGTTTTTAAATTTTTATATGATGATACATTAATTGAAATAAATTTCAATTAGGATTTTTTTTTATGTTGTATAATTTAATTCAAAATCTCTTCATCAATGTTATTATGAAATCGTAATAAGTATTTGTAAAAAAAAATAATTTTCTTATGTTTTGAAGTAGTTATTTCTGAGTTATTTGTTTATAGCATTTTTATTATTAATATATAATCCATAATGTAATACATTTTTTCACTTAGATTGTAATAAAGCTAGGTAGAGAAAATGTGAATAATGTATGGAAATGGTTTGTTATATCTCAGTTACAGTTTTTCTTTAGCAAATAATATGTTGAAATCAATAAATATATGATTACGTTCGGTACACGATAAATATGTTTCGAAAACAAGGCAAATACAAATATTAATAATACGATGGTAATCTAGGAAATGTTCATTGCTCGTTAAATTATTTATACCTGGACGGATATAAATTATGAGTGCGCCGCGCGGTAATTGATGAATAATAAATCAATTCCGTGCTTGATCTGATCCCGAAAATTACCTATTTGCTTAGTGGATTGATACGGCTTCAATTACGCGCTTATCTTTATTAAATTTTTCACTTATTACCATTCCGATTTGTTACCAGATAAACTGTCTGTTGGTTAAGAATAGAAAAAAATAAATAAAATTAAAAAAAAAAATGGAACGAACGCTGTCTGAACCCTTAAAATCGTCGTATCAGAGTTGTATAATTTTCACATCATGTGTCTGCTAACACCAAATAGTGTTTGGACTAGACGCGGTGCCGGTTGTTTTAAGAATCAACCCCCAAATCCTTACGTAAGCCCTCACGTACCCCAAGGTTCGCCAACCGTCTGAATCCTCGGCTCCTCTTCGGGAATCTCCTTACAACTCGCATTACATACTTGTATTTTATATGGTATTATCTGAAAAAAATGATCCAGCCTCTGTGATGCATTACAAATTGGACCATCGTATACTATTATTATTATTCGCATGTACCGAATTTTGTAGTAAAGATATATAACAAATTTGTGCTTTCTTTTTCTTATATAAACATACATTAATGTACCTAATTTTTTCCGTTTAGGTACATTAGAAACCAAAATTATTCTAATCCAAATATTGATAATATTTCAAGAAAATATTTGCCCGGAAATTTACAATAAAATAAGTACCTCTTGCCGTGATTGCTTTGCTCCTAATGAATGCGATTGAAAACAAATGTCAGGTGGGTCACTCTGACCCATCTGCAGTACTCTGCAAAAATTCTTCAGATACATATTTTATAATTAGTTATACTAATTTGTGTTATTTTAAATATAAAATTATTTCCATTCTAATCGACTCATTTAGTTTAATTTACATAATAATAAGCGAATATTCGTTTTATGAAAATATTATGAATTCAGTTCAATTTCAATAAATAATTGCCTAAAATGAATGAATTTCCGATAAGTACGTATTGTTAAACAAAACTAAAAACTTAAACTTTAAGTTGTTTTTCTTATACCAGAAACTGTGTTTTATACGTTGATTTTCAGCAGTTCAGTAGACTCAAAAATTATACTTACAAGTACTAATTCGAATATTGGTTTTACTTTAAATTCGTATCTTAACAGATTAATGCGGATAATTCGAAGTGTTAATACATAGAAGTGTATTATTCAATATTTACAGATTCTGAATAAAAACAATATTAATATAAAACCTATCGGTAAACAGTGATTAATTTAATGGAGACCGTTTTATTTTATTCCCTTTTCGTCTATAACATTTATATTCGAATCGGGTACATTTATTTATTTAGCCGGTGGAAAATTTGCGGCGTTCCAAAATAAATCAGTGTTTTGAATATGCACCGTGTTAAATGGTCATATCATTAATAACGTAATTTGGGTAGGCCACAACTTGTATTAAAAAAATAAATTAAAAAAAAAACGACGCACTGTTAATTATATATTTTTTTTTAATTAGACAATAAGTTGCATTAATGATGGTAAACAATGAATGTAATTGAAGTATGAATAATGGAGTATTCTTGGAGGTTTATTGTACGTTAGGTATTGCAGACTTGTTTCTGCTGCAGTTTATTTCCATTTAAATTAATAGTTAATCTCGATGTAAACTGATGCACAGAGATTGCTATCGCAAAGGGCCGGAAAGTTAAGAGTTTCGAAACCGAATCTAGTGTATATACTACACACAATCATATTTGGAATGTTGGTATCGATGTGTATCACATCAGTGAATCTAACCACATCCGAGCCATAACTTCATATCAAGGCGATATCAGAGGCTGATAGCCCATCTAACCCCGCACTTGTGCCGGTATTAACTTCTCGCTTTTAACACAGCCTACCCTGATTTTTTTTTCTCTCTCAATTTTTCTTACATTCGGTTTAATACATTGAATTAATAGTGGTGGAGAGTGAAGAGATACGTCACGATCTGTGCGAAGTTTGTGCGTCCATCTCCATCGATAATTTAAGTGTCGGTATTCGCCGCACGAGATGTATTTAAGACGTTACCCCTCGAGTTTCGAAGACACCTCGTAATGCGATGACCTATGGCGCATATTTAAAATTCCGAAAGTGTCGTCCAACATTTTGTTTGAAAAACAAATTTGCGAAATAAGGAAGAAAAGTTAGGCGGATGGCTTGTGCTAATCTAGAAGGCACGAATTTGCATTTAGTTTGTGCATCGTTTTCTCGCCTACACAAACTTCACCATTATTTTGCACCCATGTTTCCTCTATTCTAATTTTCTTTTTCTTTTTGTCTGCAGATCGATTCCGATTTGATATTTGAAACCGCGGACGACCCGACGACCAATCACGACATATCAATTCGAGATGCATCGCATAATGTAATTAGTGAATCTAGTCAAGACGATGAACCGCATTGGATCAACAAAGTTGTGCATAGAATAAAGAGACAATTATTTTCGTGGCCATTCTTCACTACTACTCCTGCTCCAGATGTGGAAGAGGATGAAGATGATGAGGAGACTGAAAATATTGCGACTACCGACAATAATCAGGATCAGGATCAGATCCAGGAAGGAAGTCAAGAATATAGCAAGTACGACCATAAGGAAAATAACCAGGATAACAACGATGATGACTACGAGATTCATTCATTCAACAAGTAATATATATATTGATTTTGACTGTAAACAAATTTTAATTAACTTCTTTTATTTTATTTCAAGTTCCGACGATGAAGACATGCCAGATAATTCCGGTGATTATTCGGGTTCGCATAAAATTGAGAATGATGGACCTGGTAAATATGCTCTTCTTAATGTCAACCTAATTTTGTTGCACTTCAACAAAAATTAGGTCATTTTTTCATAAAAACTAGTTACTTATTAATACAAATTTGTGAATTAATTGAATTCTTCTTGTAGCTTATTATCGGGTTGTTATGACCGTTATGGAACCGATGAGTCAAGATTACACAAACAAAGCCTCAGACACTTACAAAACATTTGTGAAAACATTTGTGGACGACATCCATGAACTCTACAAGAAAACACGAGGAAATCAAAGGGCCGAAGTAATAACCATCGAGTAAGTACACGTAACAAATATTGTCTTATGGATTTTACATTTATTTCATTAATTTTAGACCACATTCTTCCGATGTGTTCGGTATCGTTGTCACATTCGATATTGAAAGCAAAGGATATTACAACGAAGAGAAAATCAAATCCGTTCTGGTGAAACAGATTCAATCCAGAAATTCGATTGGTCAACTGCAAGTGAATTTGGATAACTTCAGGTTTAAGAGATTCGAAGGTATACACATCAATGTGATGATATATATTCAGCATGGACACGCTTTTCTTTTATTTATTTTATTTTTATTTTTTTTTGTTTATTATTATTATTATTTTATTTTTATTAATTAGCAAAACGAGAAGATGCTGTAGAAACAAATGTTTGTCACGAATCCGAACTGCAATGTAAGAATGGTGAATGCGTTCCATCTGAATCGCGTTGCAATAAGGAAATCGATTGCGAAGATGGATCCGATGAAACTGGTTGTCCTCCCGATGATGGTAGGTTTTACTGCTGCTTCTTTTTTATTTATTCTAACTTAATTAGTTTTTTTTTAAATATATCTAATGCTTATTTTTATGCTTAAAAGCACAGTATTTCTATAAAAATTGTATATATTTAGTCGTAATTTTAAGATATTTTCTCTAAGATTTCTCAGGTTGATACATACATTATTTATATTAATATATATCAAGATTTTTAGTTTTCTACAAGAAACGTTATGATTAATTTATGCTAAGATTTGAACATTTACAAATTGAAAGAAATTAAGGAGAATCCGTCAAAAGTTGACACACAATTATATGATTATACTATAATTAGGTGAAACATGTAAAAATCATCAAATTAGAATGACTTCTAAAACAAAATCCAAGTATAAAATAATACTGAAAACATCAAAGTATATTTAGAAATTTACATCTTGCAGCTTGTTTATATATTTATATTATTTATTGTTTAATGTAAAAAAATTTCATATATAGTTTTTTTTTTCATTGTTTCCAAAATTTTATAAAAATAAGAGTTTTTAGTATCAGGAAGAATTGTTCAAAATCAAAGCATATCGCTTATCTAACAATGTAGCATAAACATAGAACTTATGGATCGTAGGTTGAACTGCTCTTGCAAATTCAGTACTAAACGTGGACTTATCTGTACATAAAGTTTACTTATTTGACACGTACATGCCTCCGGCTGTAATCGTGTATTATCGGACTTTCTGAATTAGGTAATAGTTAATAATTCTAACTCTATTAATTAATATTAGCTTACAGGACGTTAAGCTTACTAACTAATATATAACTTTAAAAAAAATTGGTTTCAGGATTTGAAAAAACGATTTTTTTTTAATTTGTAACATTCTGTTGAATATTGTCAATATTAAATTTGTTACAGCAACACGATAGATTTTAAACTGCGGTTTTGTACAATGTTGATATTATTAAAAGCACGATTGATTGCTGGATGCGCCGAAGGGCCAACGTATTTGCATATTTGCAGATTTTAACGCCCAAGTGATATTTTATTTATCATACAGGGTGATCGTGCAAAACTAAACTTGACGCATAACGCAATCCTTCGTGTGAGTTTTACAATTGTAAATAGGGGTCGTCGGCTGTGAACATTTGAAATAGATTAAAACGCTGTTGGCCGCCGCCGCAGTGGTTTTGAAGAATTGCAATCTGTTTTCAGGAAGAGGAAGAGAGCGAGAGAAAAGTAATTTGCTACTGCAGCTTCCTCTCATCACAATACTGAACAGCAACAAACAAAACAAAAAAAAAAGAACGAAGAAGAAAGAAATACGAAAGAAAACTAATTCAAATGTAAATAGCTTTCCGCATAAATACTATTTTCCTTATAACGGTCGGTGCTTCTTGATGATGACACCAAGACGCTCAATATTTAAAATCTTGATACTTTAATCTGCATTTGTTGTTTCTAATATAGTATTAGTTGTGTTTCATATGTATATAACTATTATCTGGTTGAGGGATTTGGATTTATTTTATGTTATAACAAATTTAACTCTTTTTATGTTAAATGTGTGTGATTCATGTTGGATTCCTTTTGAATAGTTGAACCAGAGGCAGAAATCCCAGTGGGAAGCAACAGAAACGAATTTGAAAAGCGGGTAACGCAGATTCCTACCGGATCATCATTCCCTATCCCTACTGTTCCTAGTCACGAAACAAACTTTACGCAGAACTTGCCCGGAAGATGTCGCGGTGATGATGTTTACCACTGCAAAAATAACGTTCAGATATGCTCGGAAAAGGAATGCGACGGACATAAAGATTGCGATGATGGTGAAGACGAAGAAAACTGTTGGGGTATAATTACTCTTTTGTTTATACTAATGCTTGGTGTTGGGTTTCCGAAAGCATTAACCATTCATGTTACGTCTTTTTTTTTAATTAAACACATTGCCTTTCACAAATAACATTTACAGGTTTAAATCATTGTGATTTCATCATTTAAATATCAAATTAATTGAAAGTTGCTTCTGTCTACTAAATACTAAATATATTGCGTCACATAAGCAGGGCCGCAGCAAGGAAATTTTGCAACTGGGGCCAAATATCTAATTTGCACCCCCGCCATAAGAAGGGGACAAATATTTTATTTACGTCTCTTTTCTTCAAGAAAACAATACAAAACAGTGGATTATAGATTTTGTTTTAATGAACAGTTAAATGTTAAACTAAATGTTTACAATTATACAAATTTTCTTTAATCAAAGCTTTAATTCGCTCATTGATCAGAGTTAAAAATAAAAGGTCTAATTTAAAGCTTGGTTCTATATTGCTAAATATAATAATATCTCTGTATGGTGAAACCATATCCTCATGGCACATACTAATTGATAATGTTTTATGTTTAGATTGTTCAACTGATGAAATTCAATGCGACATTTCGAGGTGCGTGTCGAAGACGAAATTATGCGATGGAGTCTTCGATTGCGATGACAAGACCGACGAGAATGATGACAGTTGTACAGGTCAGTTTATTTTTATTGTTATTTTTCTTGTTGCTGTTGTTATATATGCGTAAATATTGTGCGCTCATTATCTTTTCGTCGCCGTTCTATTTCCGTTTGTGCAAATTCAATAGTTGTCATGCAAAATAACTTGAATACACGACGTCTTTGAAATGCGAGACCTTCGGGTTAAAACTTTTCGGCGGACTGAACATATTGAATAGTAGTGGCTTCAGTATATGTTATCTATAAGGGCAACCGATCACACATGGGCATAAGCTCAAATTCTAAAAATATTTCTTCCGTTCCGCATATATGCGTACAAAATACAACATATAATACAAAATATAAATATGGAAACTCTGAATTGTAAAGAATACATATAGTTTACATTTATTTCGTTAATAGTATACAATTGTAATGTGTGTACTTTGACAATTAATATTATGTTTCAAGTAAGCTCGACAGCTTCCTCTCTGGAAACAATACAGTGTCATGTATAAACCATACCATATATATATACGACGGTTCTGGTTTATGTATATTTAGGTTATGTATATTCCAGTTAGATTGGATGAAATAGTTCGAAATTAAAGAAATAACATTTATTCAAAAAACCATACAATATTTACAAAAACTCTGAAATAAATATTAATTGCATGTATAATGTATACAAAAATCATGATACTTACTTTTTGTTCTTTTATATAGTTTTAATGTCATCGAACACTAAAGAATTACATAATAAAATATTTAGTAATATAGGTAATTATTGTTGGTAAAACTTCTTCCTGTGCAATTACTTTCAATTTCCGAATCAAAAAATACTGCGAAATTGCCGGTATTTCTTTGTAAAAATGATCGGTAATCACATTGGACGCTAAAACCGATTAACCGTTTACTAGTAATAGAAGCTCTAATCCCAATGTGAATTGAAGCCTTATAATTCACCGACAGAAGAATATTGCAATTAGTTCCTACAAACTAATGAATTAAGACAATATTGACTTTTTAAATAATTAGTTAAGGATCTTTTCAGAAAAGTAATTATGTGATAATATATAATTCTTGCGTATATGATTATTACAAAATTTGATTACAAATTCTATAATGTATATAAAAACAAATCATTTAAAGAATATTGTATCTATATTTTAGGGTTAATGAAGTTTTGAGCAAATGTTTGGTTTGTGCATGGTAGATATTATTTCTTGTCGTAATTGTAACGGGTAGAAATTTATTATGTAGTTGAGGAGGGTATTAAATTTGTACAATTTCTGGGCGCAAAATGTTTCGAGGGTGGTGGTTGTGTTGTGGATGAGAGCGCGAAAGGGAAAAAAAAAGGATCCGCATGCAGATGTTGACATATAATTTTCTAGGGGGATGATTTGTCGTTCGGTGGCCGCCCTGTGATTGCAGCCCCCCGCTGTGTACGTAATGCGAACAGAGTGTAATCACACTTTATTCATATTACTATATCAAAGAGCGTGTCTGACCGCGATTTACCCGAATTACAGAGCCTTCTTTTGTCTCATTCCCGACTACAATTTTATCAGCGCTTATTACATTTCTCTGATGGATTCACTTCTGGAAAAACAGAAATAAAATGGGAACGAGAGGAGGAGAGAAGAGAGGACGGATCTCCTCTCTTACGGTTCAAATCAAAACTTGTTGAAGTTAAAATAACAGAAAAAGAAACGCGAATAGTGGATGAAAGCGAAGTGGGGAAAAAGGAAGGAGACGAGAGGATCACAATGTGAGAAGAAATTTCCTTTTTGATTTATTAGATTTTCTTATAGAGAGATTTTTATTAGGAATCTTTTTCGTATAGCATTTACACAGTCAAGTAAATAAGTGACACTGTTTGTCCAAAGTCATTTGTAAGCCGCGATCTTAATGGAACGTAGCTTCTTTTTTCACTGCTCTTCGTTCCTCCGGAGGGAAGCTCTTCTTTCGCCGCTACTCTATGTTCCTTTTTTATTACTTTTCGTTACTGTCTGTGTATATATGCTCTCTCCTTTGTTACACTGGGGGGACTTTTTTCTTCTACGAGGGTCCTCTTCACATGCAAATTTGGTTATTGAATATTCATTCATTTCCAAGACGACGTAAAACTTAACGACGCACTTATTATACCTTATTGAAAGCGCAAAAATCTCCTGATTACACTTTTAATGTAATCCGTCCGCATGTACTCTTACCTCGCCCTTGGAGAACCCTGTTATAATGTAATATCTATGATTATATTAATTACACCCTTTTCAGCAGAAAACTATTAACAGAAAAATCAATACTATAAAAGCACCATAATACATATTTTAAATATCTGCGCATATTACAAGAAATATTCTGTTAAATATGCAAAACCATTTACTTCTTTTTATTACAACAATTCAACAAATATAATTACATATACAAGGAAACAGTACAATCTTAAATTTATAACATAAATGTAATTAATCTATATTTATATGATAAAACATATTGCTTGTGGTCATTGGACAATTAGGAGGAATAGCTCATATATAATAAAATTAACTGGTAAAAATTGAAAGCTATAATAGGAAAGAATATATTTTTTTTCATATTTGATGATATAATGAATGTATGTAGTTTTAGAGTATTTAGAAACAAATGAGCGTGTAAAAAATAGAATTCTTCATATTTCAACTATTAATTAATTGAATGCTAGTCTACATACTTTATATACATATTATATCATAGCTAGCATATAAACTGAATTAAATAAACTGTAAAGTAAGATTTGGGATGTTAAAAAATTGTTGTAAGTAAACATATTATGGTTTGATGGTAAAATAATTTCGTTGTATCAAGTTTCGAATAAAGCCAAGGACGTAATATAATAAATCTGAGGGCATGTATGTGCCACTTAATGGATGCTAGGAGATGGGGATTATGTCGCGGTGTCGACCTGTGGCTGTAACAACCCCGGTCTGGTACGATGCCGCACAAGAATTCCCCGCTCACCCCAAACCCTGCACAGCCCACCGCCAGAAACTCACCCCCGCAGAGAGGTCCCGCCTCGTCGGAAACCACTGATATATCCACGTTCCACGGATACAATCAACCCTCTCGTTATCAAACGAACACACTAAAAACCTCAACTCATTTACATACTGCATTTAAGATAACTACAACATAACGACTAAAAAACAAAGATATTTAATAAATTGTATACGCATATGCCGTTTTATAGTAGAACGTGTGTCCGCACTCAAATCCTCCTTTAAATGCATTTATTCAGACTGCAGCTTCTTTCCTCGCTCTACCCTTTTTTCCTTACTCTATCTCTACCTATTTCCAGTATTTATGTCAGCACCTATTCGTATTGTCCGGATTAAGTTAAAACTCGCCCATGCCCTACATATTTGCAATGGCAATATTTGTAATAGTATTAGAATCTAATTAAACGGACTAAGAGAAACACGATAAATCCATACTCAACATGGGTTTCATGCATTTCAGTTTTCATAATGCCGTTGAGTTTAATTGCATATAAATTGAATGTTAATAGTATTGCACGCGATCCGCTAATAAAATACTCCGGCGCATATCTGTATTGAAATTGCGAGCGAGGCAAGAAATACCTTTTAAGAGGAAGGAGAAAGACCAACCACCCATCCCATCCCATCCCTTCTCAAATAATATATTCCTTTGGTGGCATTAACTCGTAAAACTAGGACCCATGTAATGATCATTTATAACACAATAAATATTAATGACGTGGTGACTTCTCCTCCTGTGATCAAAAGGTTCCCATTTTTATTGCCGGAGACTTCACTTGAAACACTTCAATTACTACAGACGGAATGCGCGTCGAAATGAGAACAAAATAAAGTGCGACGAGGAAAAGCCGCAACTCATTACCATTCAATTAAAATATATTAGATTTTTAAATGAACCATTGCGTCACACTTGATCAGAGATAATGGGCTAATTGGATCTGAGTGAAAATTTAAAACGATGAAAACGAAAACGTTAATGGATGTATCAACATTACTCAGTAATATTTGTAAGAGGATAAAAAAAATTGTTATACTCAGTATGCAGATGGTTTTTATTAAAAGAAATGTTTATTTGCTCTTTGCACATTTTTTCATCCCGACCAATATACTTACTTTATTAAACAATGATGTCATTTCTTTTTTTATTATTGTTTAGTCAGTTGCACTAACTAGAATTAGACCATGGGAACTGGGAAAATGCATCGCTTTTTAAAATATTTGTATATTTTTCTTTACTCGTGAAAAAATATACAAAAATATATATATTTTTATTGGATTTTATTATAAAAATATTTAGTAAATTAATTAATTTATCACTTTACATTCATATATACATTAGATATAAAAAATAATATTATATAACTATTTAAAAAGCCAATAATTATCAAAAGTCATTGTTCTTGTTATGTATAATATAATTTGCCATTTCTTGAGTTGAGCTATGATACAAGTATATTACGCTTTTGTTAATGCTTGTATTGCTGTACATTTAGTAAATGTTGCCGTTTGGAATATCTAGAGGAGATACGGAATAGTAGGACCCATGACACAGCTCTGTGGTACGAACTACAATAGTAATTGCTCACATTGAACTAACTATCATTGACTTAAACTTAAAATATTGTTTATAATTGCATTTAATACACCAACATTTATTTATTTCCACCCTAGTACCTATTATATTATGTAATTATCACATAAACTACGGCTTATGCAAATCTTAATCTAAATTATTATATAACCAAAACAGGAATTGTATCCATTTGAATAAAAGCAATTGTTGCTTTTTACAAAAACATAGAGAAGCAGCCAGTGGCGGAACTTTAAATCTTTGTTCCCCGCTGCAAAATATGTAGCAAGATATTCAGCAGATTTACATATATGTGTAGAAATTCAACAATTTGTTTTTTTTTCTTAGATTTAAAATAACATAGATACAATTTGAAATAATAGCAAATAATGAATGAATACAATAAAGTCATAAAGAACGTTGAT